AACAGGGATTTCAAATAGCACACTTTTCCACCCTAAATGTATCCCAAGCTCATATAAGCAACCAAATGTGTTACAACACTTTGCACAAGTTCCTCTTTCAGACAGCTTTGTTTTCGACAGAGCTGAACTTTATCACACTTTAAGTTTTCCCCAGACCTCTGCTCTCTTGTTTTTTGACCCTCTTTATAGCGAGCCACATTTCCACTTTGTAGTTTGTTGGATTTAGGAAATATAAGACTTTATTGAGTTCCGGTACGGTAACACAACAGTCGGAACAAAAGAAAATAAAATTTGTTCACATATCTACAAGATCTTTTTGCAGCACAATGCTACTTCTTTGTTTTTTTCACAGTGGTTTTTTTTAAGTGTCCATGCTGATTGCTCCTCGGAGGAATCTAATTTTTCGACTGGTGCACAAGTTTGAGTTATACGAACGACGTCAAAAACTCACTGTTGTTAGATGTGCCTAATTTTTACACATGTTAATGATTTCTAGCAAACGCAACTTATCCTCAAAAACTTCATTGGTCTCTACATCTGCTGCCCAGTGTTTTAAGCACAACAACGAGTAGCATTTCGCAAAACTTTTTGGGATGGTTAAGAGGAAAACGACTGAGATACTATTCGCGCAAGTGGAACTGCCATCTAATATGGCGACAATCTTTCTTTTTTAGCGCTATGTAAACCGCATTTTATCAAACGTTAGACGGATCGCACTTTTTTACCAAAAATGGAACTGATACCGTACATAACGACGATATTTTGACGAAAACTTGTAGGGCCGTCAACGCTGATGTAAAATACTGCGAAAGAGAAAAACTAAGAGACTGTGAGCAGTTGTGTGCTTATTAAATTTACCTCTATATGAAAATAATGAATAGTGTCATTGTTACACAGAGGTACCGTGAAAAGTTTGCTATTATAACTGGAGCTTTTAGTTCTTATTTTTCCTAAGAATAATTCTTTATAACAACTTAAACAAAAGGTCTCTACACTAAACTGGTAAAGTAGAGCTGTAATAGTAAAGCGGCACTGCCAAAAGTTTATTTATTTCAGTGGTAGAGCAGCCTGCTTTTACTAAAAACTTTGACACTTGAATCTTGAAAAAAATTTTTAATTTTTGTAATTGCTATCAAAGCAATAGAATTGAAGAGGTATTTGTCAGTGTAACATTATTACACATTTTTGTCAACAATTATTTTATCTGTAGCAGGAAAATGAGAAAACAGTCGCAAAACTGTACAACATTAATATTCTCAAGCATATAAAGCTCAAGCGATAGTTTTTTGTTCTGAATTTCACGGTATAACTATCACTAACTAAAGGTTTAGAAAAAATTTAAATAGAGAGAAATACAACCTTATTATTTATCAAAATCTTTGTTTTGTGTGTGTATCTGTGTGTGTTCAACATTCTTCGTTGTCATCTAGTAACGGTATTAAAATATCAACATTTTTTGACTGACAACGAAAGTGTAAATGGAAAATGAGAAGTGTAAAAAACTAAGACCAATAATGAAGAACAGAAAACGGTGAAGCAGAAGAATATTCAAATGGTTAAAATGGTGGCACATAAACAATCACTGACGAACATAAACAACTAATAAAAAGAACTTAACTAGCAACAATTTTTCTAGCTTAACAACTAGTTTAATTGGGATGAATTAATTGGTGCTTTTGCAAAATCAACTTCTGCGTCATTGAATAAAAGCTGTTTTTCTTCAAAAGCCTTTTTAAAGTGTCTTAAAACGTCATAACAAGTGGAAAATATTTTTATTTGTCTTCCG